CGGTCTACAAGGTAGGCGGCTTATTCAGAAGATCATCCTTTCTTCTTGCTACTTGCAGCTTCACAAACTCATTCACATATTTTCAAATGGAGCTGCCCACCTGAACATCACCCCACAACTATATTGCTATAATTAATATTTTTGCCATGTCTTTATGTACAGTCTCCTTCACTGCCTTTTTTTTCCTTAGTCAAGCCTCAAGCGTTCATGTCACTCCAGGGGAAACACACTTCAGTGGCACAGCCATGAGGCCAGGGCTGCAAAGCAACTTAATAAAGGCAGAACAGTGCACATAGAACGGGGTGGCTCAATTTAGTCAGAACACACTTCCTGGTGAAGGAGGAGGCCAGAGACTGGATTTGAGTTCTCAACCTTATCTTAATCTTTTGACTGCTGAGCTTAAAAAAAAAAAATTGCCAACAAAGCCAACCTAAAACCAAACATACCATATACGAAAAGTTCATTATCATCCAAGCAGGCTTTTCTGTTAGAGAGACAGGTAACAAAAACCCACAGTTGCTGAATGATCCAATTTAAGGAAGGAGTATAGGTGGACAGAGATTTWAAAAAAAAAAAAAAAAAAAGTTTGTTAAGGGCACCTGTCTTCCTACAAGGGCCGATCATCATTTTGGGTATTTCACATTGAAGCCTTAACTTGTTCCAGTTTTGTCCCAATGTGCTATTAAAAGCTTTCAGAGAACACCTTGTTRATGGTACTTATCAAGGACATGACTTCAGCACACCTCTACTCCCAAACTGCTCTGTATCAKTGACATGTGTAAAGGACAATATATACTTTGTTTTACCAGGCCTATAATAAACAGTGGCTGAGGTGCACAGTGGCTGGGTCTAACACACTTCATCGTGTGCTCAGCAAACAAATTTACTTACTCTGGGGCTCCCAAAAAACCCCCCATATTTCTTTTTGCATGTGTATCTTACCTTTCTTTTTTTTCAGTTCAGGTAAATCTCAAATATTTGCTTCCCTACAACTCCCATCTCTTAGCCGTTCAAGCCCTGCCTGTACACTGTCTCCTCCAGGAGACATGGAGATATGATACCACAACAGCTCTTAAGTGCGGCTGGAGCCAGAAGGGACTGACAGTGCTGTGCCCCAACCAGCTTTCACTGGGGTGGCTGTTGCTGAAGCTGCACCTCTGGGGCTGCTCTAGGGTAGGAAAACCTCCAGAATGCAGAGACCTCAAAAGGATGAATCTTCCCATCCACATGGCCATACTCTCCTCTGCTTTCACCCTAATAGGATAACAGACTTGAAGAAAAATGTGCCCTGTGTTGAGCCATACATTACAAAGATCCCTTGTGCATCCCTTGTAAGAGGTTGGCCCACTACTGGTCTGCAAAATGGGATTTTACTGGAAATAYGTTTTATTTCCATCATAGGCTATTTCCTTGTGTAAAGAAACTCCTTCCCCACTATACACCAGGGCTCTCTATCTGATCTGCTGTGTGAGAAGACTGCAAACCTCTGACATAGCCCAAGCAGGTTGATAATTGTAATTCAAATGCCAAATTAAAAAACTTGGTGGGAGGAGAGAGGAGGGGAATTAAAAAAAGTTATGTAAAGGAAAAAAGTAAAGCAGGCTAAGCAGGGGCAAATTCTCTGCTTGAGCAACTCCAGAGTCAACTGAGTCAGGGGAATTATGCCAGCAAAGATTTTGGCCCTGTACTTGTATTTCCTAGACAAAGCAAGTGTCTCTGTCTTTCTGAGCTAAAAACATTTTCTAACATGAACACTTTAGGATGCATTATCTTTGCCAGAATGGAAAAGGCTTCATCTCACTGTGGGTCTTGACCTCTTTCTCTGTCTGTCTTTCTCAAGAAAAAAAACCTTGAAGTAAAACAATTTCCTCAAGTCAAGTCTGCCTCCAACAGAATTCATTATTTATGTTTTAAATCCAGAAATGATTTCAGCTTGCACCCCAGGTGGGAAGTTAAAAAGAGGGAACCGATTTGRAAGTTTGTCACAGTAGGCAGAACAGTTGCTTTGCAGCCCTTGCCTGGCTAAGGGTGCACTGCTTCACAGCTACACTGTAAAGTGTTAAAAATCCTCCCCACCCACCCCAGAATATATATATATGTATGTATAAAAAAAAATCCCCTGTCCACCTCTCAGTACAGAAAAGGACCTCATCACACTGCAAAAATAGCAGTACCCACTTTGGTCAATTAAAACAAACAAAAAAAGCATACTTTTTTTTTTTTTTTTTTTTAAATCTGTGTACTTACCTATAATAACCAATACAGCTAAAAGCACTACCTACATAGGCAAAACTTGGTATTGCATAATTCGTATAAATTTGTATCCCCTCCCCCCAATATTAATTGGAAGATGAAAAACATGAAAGGTTATTAGAAAAAACACCAAAATACTGAAAATATTGCTGGTCGATTACAATTCTTAAGCGGCAACTATACACAGCCATGATATGCTTTATAAATGTGAGATAAAGGTATAACTGTCTAAAAAATCCATGATGTCACACATTTTTCGCATCTGGAGTACAAAATATTTTGTCATAAAAATGGTAAAGATTTAAAATTATAATAAATGCAGCAAAACAAGTGTAGTGATGTCAATTTTTTTGTAGTTTTTTTTCTTTTTTTGTTTTTTTCGCTTTTTTAGATTTCAAGGCAAGGCACGTAATGTGGACATTATATCTTCGTGCAAATTAGGATTACTGGAAAGAGTATTTTAAATTTTTAAAGAGACATAGAGGCAAAATGTCTGCCCATGCACGTTATATTTCTGTCAATATGTGAAAATTGTTGAACAAGGCTAACTTCTGAAAGCACCATGCAAGTTTACAGCACCCTGTAATTAGACTTACATTAAGAGTGCATTATTTAAATACAACATATCCCCATCCTGGTATTACCAGTTTGTAAACGGTAAGCTTTGCCCTTGTGACATGGATTTGCCTATGTCTTTGTCTCTATGATGTAGATTTTACAGAAACATGTAAACCCTATGGGTTCTTGATGCAACAAGTAACTTTAAATAAATAAATCCTACCCCTCTGCGGAGGCAGCAGCTAAACCAACATAAGTGCTGTGTTTCCATTGATTTCTTTTTCTCAAGGACGTGATTTGTCTTGACTTAATGCCTTTTAATGCCCTCAAAAACTGAGGGGAAAATAAGTTTGTTCAAAGTAATTTTATTTCTATTTTTAATCCCCTCAATTTAGAGTCCAAGGGCTGAAGGACTTATAGCGATGACCTCTTAGATATGATTTTTAAATTGCACTTGCCTCTGTAAGTGTTTCTTTAGTGGGGAAAATGTCACTTTTTTTCCTTTTCTTTTTTTTTTTTACTGTTGCATGAGAAGATAACACTTTTACCTGCGTAGAGGCATTTCTTCCATAGAGCCTGTGTGTTCATACTGATTGAAAACTTCAAACTGCATAACACACTAAAAAAAGGCTGAATTAAGGGCCAAAGTTTAATAAATCCATACTGATAGCTAAAGGCTACAGAGCTTATTTTCAAAACATTTARAAATCAGACTGTTGAGAAAATGGCTGGCTCACAGCCCTTGTCCTCCTGCAGCTYTGCTGCTGCTGCCTAGCCTTTGTTTTGTGAGATAACCAGGAATAGTGATCTCATGCGTAAACAACAAGAATACTAAACCAATAGAACTAGCTTATCATGCAAATATTAAGGCATCTAGAAAGTCAGTTAAAATATATTGTCAGAGACAGAACATCTATTTCCCAGCGGACTTCATATAACAAAGGCTACTTAGCAGGAGCTGCATTCTACCCATCAGTGAAATATCATCGACCCTTTGTATATCATTTCAGTTTCAACCATAAGGGAATTAGTGATTGTAAGAGCTGCAATTGCTGGTCTATTTTTTTCTTCTTTCTTCAGTTTCTTTTCTCATACTGTCTTCTTTTTTTTTTTTTTTTTTTTTTTTTTTTTTTTTTTTTTTTTTTTTTTTTTTTTTTTTTTTTTTTTTTTTTTTTTTTTTTTTTTTTTTATATTTTGCTTTTAATTTTGTTTCCCTCAGTTGCTTGTTTCTGCTTGAAGGAAANCACCTTTCCTTGTTTTTAAATCACTTTTTAGGTCCAGACACAGAGCCAGACAACGGCAGAGATGGAATCAATAGTGCACAGAACCAACAGAAATTACCCAGCCTTAATAAACTTCAYGCATGGCTTCCGATTGCCGCCGTCCATCACCCCCCGAACAAACAGAGATGCTGCGCTGAGAGGACACGCTGGAGCTGCCTGAAATAAGGTGGTTATTAAAAGGGTTACAGATGACGCAGTTTTTATCTTTTTCAGGTGGTTTTGTTCCTTCCTGTGGTTTTATTGTGTTCCTGCTGCATGTGGTTCGTAGGGAGAAATTTTTCTCTGAGAAGTCCGCGAGAAGTTGTGGTGTTCCTCATCAGTGTTTCGTCTTCAGTTTGGATGCCCAGCCCTGCTTTTGGGTGATTGTGACAGTTTTGGAGGGGTTCATGTTAATATTCACCCCAAAATTTCAATGTTTTTATCGTGTTCCTGATAGCTGTGGTTTGTAGAGAGAAATTTTTCTCCAAAAAGTCCACGAAAAGTCACAGTTTTCTTAATCCCTGTTTCTTATTCTGCTTGGATGCACAGCCCATGCAACCACCCCTGTTTTTCGGATATTTATGACAATTTTGGAGGGGTTCATGTTCATATCCACCCCAAAACGTGAGTGTCCATCTCATTTTCAGCAGCTGCAGCATCCGTGACAGCCGCAGAATGAGGCTCCTCTTCCCGGGGGACACGTGGGAGAGATCAACGCACCAAAGCAATTAAAAAATAATAATCACAGACCAGTGGAAAAGGAAAAAAGCATAAAAAGTGGGACTAATTTCGTGACAAGAAACGAGGCTGTAAAACCAGGAGCAATTAGAGCACAAAGGCAATTAAACCGTTTCAAAAGGCTCGGTGAAATTTATTTACTTCTTCCTGTTTTTATTTCTGGAAGGCTTTTGGGGAATGGGGACTTTTTTTTTCTTTTTTTTTTTTTTTTTTTTTTTTTTTTTTTTTTTTTTTTTTTTTTTTTTTTTTTTTTTTTTTTTTTTTTTCTTTTATTTTTTTATATTTTGCTTTTAATTTTGTTTCCCTCAGTTGCTTGTTTCTGCTTGAAGGAAAGGCTCTCCAATTATGTTCAAACCATAATTTGGGACATTTGTCGGCAGGATCGGTGTCCTATTTGATACTTGGAAAGGAACCAAGCTAGCCCAGGTACCAGGACTGTAGAAAAGGGGAAAGAGACAAGGAGAGAGAGAAAGAGAGAGAAAAAACAAAACATAAATTAAACATGTATACAATGAATATGAATCAAGGTTCAGCCAATATTAATTAATAATACTCCTACTGAGGACAAAAATAGAAACTAAATTTGTGAATGTTACTTGAAATTCTACTTCCCAGTTTTCWTTGTGAAAGTATGCGTTATTTAAAAGAAAAATAATTGTGTTGAACTCAATAGCAAGTTGTACTACTCCTGAGTTATACTAAGTGGCATGTTTGTTCATGAAAACCCCCCAGAACATCAAATGCAAATATGTAGAGCAAACACAGCTAAAGCAGACAAGTTACACTATATAGCATGACGGATGAAATTCAAGAGCTAGTGATATATACCACAGGTCACAGGTATTCTTTTTTAAGAGAACAGTACAAAGAYTCAGTAACAGCAGTCCTGTGAGATTCCCTATCCTCTTACAGGAGTTTATCATGTCACCATCCCAAGATGAGCCTCTGAGATGCACAGATCCCCATAAGATTGGAGAACTTTTAATGTTCAAAAAACCTGTTTTCTTTAAAACATTTTCCCTAAGAGTGTCAGGGTCTACAGAACACCAGCTAACACAGGGCCCAATCACCAAAACACTTGCAGCRAAGAGTAGCCTTGATTCCAGGGTACTTGCTATGTGGTTTTTTTTCAAAAAACCTCTGAGAAAGACAATTCACTGACTTAGAAACTTAAGCCATCACTTCAAAAGCAGCCTGACACTGAGGAGCTGAAGTCCCAATGGCATTCACTGGTTCACCAGGCACCAAGCAATCCTACTTGCAAGATGGATACCCAAAGACAGCTGTCCCAAAGACCCCCTGAGCAGCCCTCTTCTCAGATGTGGTTCTGCCAACCCAGAARTCCAGCCTAAACTATCCTAAGCTGTATGATTCTATGACTTTGAAGAAAATTTTGACACATTTACTCAGAAGAAAACAGCATCATTAAGTAAGCAAACATTGCCAAAGATCTAACACCAGTACAGTACGCAAACACATCTCTCCTCTTTATTTCATTGTATCGAACTTTTCTGCACATGGGATCTTTCCAAAAACGTAATTGCTTGTTTGGGAATACATTTTGGGATTAAACTAACAAGCTTCATGATAACACATCTGAAGACTAAACCCTTCCACATGTGTATTGTGGAGGAGAGATGCTAAAAGTTTTCTTCCCTCTCTATCTTTTGTCCATTTCTGCACTGCTCTCTCCCTGGACAAGCAGATGCACTTTTTGTGGCATCAGCTCTGWAGAGCAAAACAGGCCCTTTTAATCTATTTTACATGTTTAATCTATATACATTTCATTTGGCGGATTTTTGTGATCATTTCAGTTGCTGAAAAGTGTTCAACTTTGTGAAATCCAAGGTATATGTTTCTCAGGCCTTTCATATTAAAAATAATACGAACRTCTTCTGCCATTCACTCCTGTTTGAAACTACTTGCCCCTCTGACCCTTTAATTTACTRTTTTAACTCCTAGCAATTAATTTCAGGTGTTTTGTTTTACACACACAAAAAAAGTGGAAATAATTCCTGATCTGCTTGTCTCACTGATGGTCATATTCCCAAGGGAGAAGGAGTAATTTTATTTCATGAAGAAAATACAATAGATATTAATATCTTAATGGTTTTAACACCTGAAGTACAAACATTATTCAAAAAGTTTGTTGTTTTTTTATTCTTTAATGGGGTATATTCTTGAAGGACACCTAAAAATATGCAGAATGCAAACCTTTTCAGAAATTTTTAAAAAATGTTGTTTGCAAAATGTAAGTTAGCTAATATATTTGTTTTTTGTTGTTTTAGTTCTATTGACTATTGCAAAAAAAGTCTGCAATTGGAGAAAAAACCAAAAGCTTTTGAAAATAAATATCACAGTTCACGACAARTCTTGAAGCACTCACAAAGTCTTAAACCTAGATATGGATGTAAGATTTTTCCAAGACAATCTAATGAAAAGATAATGTTCCAAAAAGAAGATAAAAATTCAATACCAGAATTTCCTTTCATTTAAGAGGTTTAATTGTTTCAACTTTTTCTTCATCTTCCTTCACAATTTGTTTTAAAATGCATTTTTTGTTCCTTCCTCTCTGGATTGCAGTGATGTTAAGAAGTAAATTTTGAAATAACAGACACAAAGTAAATTGCTTCCGAGCACGGGATTTGTGAAAATAAGAASTAGTAATAAAAAAATAAGCAAATTTGCTTGCTTGGGATCTGTCTGARTATCTGTTTTATAGTGCACAATTCTTTGCTGTCCTGTTACACAGGACTTACAGYGTTTAGTGACTTCAAACAAAATACAGCACTAACTTAAAGAATATAAATTTTGTTTGAGGTCAACACACTATTTAAAAAAATTCTGTGGCAAATGCTAAACACASAGTCTCCAGGTTATCTTTCTGAACATTTACAGTGCACTTCAATGGTTGGACATATGCATTTGTGACTTTCTGCTTTGTCTTGACGCTGCCAACATTCTAGTGACTACAGAGGGTGAAGGATACAAGTTCAGTGCAGACTAAAAGCAAATTATTATTTGTAGCAGAARTTTTATCAGCTACTTCAAATAGCAGACAGAGATCTTGATTTCCATGGAAAGTGCTCAATAAAAATAAGTAGTCGGAAGTTCCTAATATAACTCTTGTTGCCACATAACCTTCCAATTTAATATAGGTGCTTATTTAAACCTTTCAAGCCTCCCACATTATATTACTACCATGACAAAAATGCAGACTACAAGAAATTCATCAGTATTAATAATCCTGAGGGACTACTAAATCTCCTATGTTGACACTGTGTATATCCCACAGGAGTTTCAAAGTCCCTTGCACTGTTCACACCAAACCTTCTGCCAGAGGTGGTGGTGCAGGCAGGCAGCGGTGGGACCAGGACAGCCACACACTGTCTGCCTACAGGGCTGGAACAGCCAGCACTTCCATGCCTCTGGAGATGCCTGAAGTCCTGGTCTAAACACACACACTGGGCAGAGTCTGGCTGCACTGGCAGCTGCGAAGAATGGCCTATTCCCTCTGCTGGTTTTTCCTAAGCTGTTCTCTTCAAGGCTTGATAAATTCTGGCTGTGGTTCAAAAAATAACCTTTTCATGCTACAGTTCAATGTATGTAACTCTATCTTGGGCCAATCCTTGTACCACCACCAGATGCTCACTGCAGACAGMGGAAGAAACCTGAATGAAAGCAACTGAGTAGAACAGCCCTAGTGACAGGACAGATCTSTGAGAACAGCTGTGACACAACAAATAACCAAAAACACAGCACAGGCTCTGCTAAACTGCATGTGTATGCCTGTCTATCCAACAGTCCCACATCCCCCTTCACAGTTCAGCCCTTGGTTTCACAAAACCAGAGGCAATGCTGTGTCTCTGTCTACTAAGTACCTCAACACAGGGAAGCCAAAACTCTTTCCACTGCCTAGGACACAGACAAGGTGTTTGTCCTTGCAGAAGTTAATAGGATGTCTCTCTGCCCAAATGGCTTGGCCTTCAGATAAGAAATCATTGTATTTATGAGTGAAATAAAGCAGGTGTACTCCACACTCCAGCTTACTACTCCTGAGGAAATCTTATCGGTGTGCTGACAGAGGTTATAATATAAATGCTTTTCCCTTTAAACATGAAGTGAGACCTAATAAAACTGCTCCAGGCTAAGTGTTGAAGAAAATTACATGAGGAGCACCATCTGACACTGTTGTGAGATTCGGACTTGTSTTTGTTGTAGGACCTCCTTCCTGAAGCAATACACCTTTAAGTGATTTCACTACACTGGTACCAGTTTCCTCTTCACCACATTTAGATTATCAGATRTGTTATACAGTTCCCTCTCTATCCACAGGAAGTATAATGTATTTATCTGTTCAAATGTAATAAAACAGCAGAGGAAAATTCTGCAATCATCCTACAGGGTTAACATTCTCCATTACAGTTTCCATTACAGTTTCCAGATGTTAATTCGATCAAGATTTCTGCCATGATTTCCTCTTAAAGATAATAATTGCTGTTTCAAGAACCTCTGATTAAAATATTACTGGAATGGACCACAAGTAGTGCTTACATTATACGTATATACAGTCCACTTTRKAGGTTATAATAGCATAAAGAGTATAATAATGTTAAACAATTAACTAAATGCAATAAAAATAAATCTAATCTGACCTGAGTAAATCTAGAGGTCTTTCAGATTCTTACTTTCCACTAGTTACTRCCTTCTTTCTTTTACAGTTTCAGAAATCTGTATGAGTATTTAACATCCAGAAAGTACATATAAAGCAGTATTTCTTTTTTGTGACTTTACTATCATGTACATGAACCCACTAGCTTACTGAAGATAGAATGGATCCTGCCAAGTCAGTCTTCGGACAGAAAAGGTAGAAATACTTTCGAGGTTGAGAGAAGTGACAACAGTAAGTCACCAAGCAAGGTACATCTATCTCTGTAGTRACTGCTCGCCCACACAAGTGCAGGGCCTTTTACCATTTAAAAYTGCTGGGATCATAAGAACTCTGGAAATGCAATTTTGCTAACCTCAGTGCCCTGGCTAAATTCCCACATGTGCATTTCTGCCAAAAGAATAACCACCCTTCCAACATCTGCTTAATGAGGTACTTCTKTTACCATTCTGAACTCACATCCATAGATAAATAGCTGCCAAATTTTACCTCCAAGATGAGCACTTGTTTCAAGAAATGTATTAAGTGTATATCACATTAATTTAGGATGACTTAGATATGTTGACATATACCACCCATCTAGCAGATAGAGGAGTTAAAAACCTACAGATTTATACCCAGGGGAAGGAAAAGGGAAATCTACTGTAAGAATACTATTTATTCTATTCCCTTCAGACTCCTTTTTGTGACAGTGTAACAGCAAAAGGTACATAAAGATGAGGAAGAAGCTGCAGACAGACCCCACTGCTAACAAAGAGCACCCTCA